GCTTAACCCTCGTGAGCGTTAGATATATTCAATGAACATAGTAATAAAACTAAAATTAACTTTAAATAACTCATAAAATTATGATAGTTGCAGAATTCATACGCATGGAGCTTAGGAAGTGTGAGAAAGCAGTCAAAACTAAGTTCTTCACTTTTGGAAAATAAGAAATTAAGTAAATATTCTATATCTTTAATGTACAAAACACACACATACGTTTCATTTTTTTTTTCTGACTATTATCTACAAAATTCAGTTACATAATACGTAATGTATATTATTTACATAAATTTATTGGAATATGATAGCTCCTTCAATTTCAAAAAATACCATGCAAACTTGTTAATTTGACGTTTCCGTACTTAAAATTACACACAATAAAATTCATAATCACCTATTTCAGAACTGCTCGTCGGTAGATAATTTATAGCAAAGTGTTCATTCACGTTTTCATATGTAAATACGAGGGTCGATCCAAATGTTCGTGGAATTTCTTTATGTACATGTATTTATTAGTGAAAGTGATTGAAAATTGCAGATTATAGTATATACAATTGATTTTCTAAAATCAGAATTATTTTAAATATTAATGGCAGAGAAGTGGTTACCCTAGCAACGGATTCTTGAAAATGCGGGGAGATTTTAACCCATTCTTCATCATATCACAAATAATAAAATTTGTGTGAGCGAGAGGATAATCAGGCTTTTTCCAAAATATTTCCTAAAAGATCTGGACTTGAGGGGGAGATGGACCTATAATACGGCGTGAAACATCTAACTTAACGTTTCGTAGAAGTCTCCCCCTGATTTTATAACTGTCCGTGTTCAAAAAGCTTGCGTGACCTTATTGGTCATAGGAAAGTGAAGAAATTTTCCGGTATTGTTGCATAACGGCTATATCTATTGATATGTCTATAAGCGTATTAAATCACGACAGAATTTTAGAAAAAAAATATCACGAACCTTTGGATCCATCGTCATACATATATGTATCCGGAACAACTTCTAAGCATCCGTATCAATGATGTTCGAGTTACGACGTTGTATGATTATATGGAACGTTTTATTGTGTACAAAATTAGGTTTTTTGACTAATGCCATTTTACTTCTATCTTTTTGAATTATTATTTTTGTGGAAGAGTAAAATAGAACTTAAATTTTTAATAAAGACTTAGCAATAAAGACATTTTCCTTGATAAAAGCTTTCAATTTGTCTTCATCATTTAGCTGCGGAAAATCTCATTAATCTACCTGCATCTTATTGGATCTTTCTTCAAATTATACGAAAAATCAATAATTCCTAGTCTTTTCTTTAATACGTAATTATTAAGTTCAATTACATCTAAAATCGATTTAGCTCGGGGAAATTTCCGGAACATGTAGGAGTGTCAGAAACAAAATCAAATCCGGTTTACTACTCCACATGTAGTTTATAAAGTGTGGTACTCTCGTGCGTAGTTAAACAAAATTGTATTAGAAAGTGTTCAAAGCATTTCGACCTGGATATACACTGTACGAATGCCCGGTATTTTGATTTTCTTGATAATAAGTGAATAAATTACAATAGACGCTTATACAAATAATACGTTCCTGAGGAGTATTCAACAAAGCTGTGCAACGATAATTCGTGTGAGATCTATATCAGGTTTAAGGTACATCGATACTCTGATAAGAGAGAAAACTCTTAATGACAAAAATGTCTATCATTCCCTTATAAATTTGTCAAGTTGAAGTGCCTTTTTTGTCAAATTTTGCCCCGCAAGCCATGCTATAAATGTTTGTATTTTATTCAGCATATACATTTCCTTTGGAAAATCATAAAAGTTAAAGAAAAATTTTATATGAGTGAGCAGAGGGTTTATGAACCTTAATAAATGATTGAATATGTGTTTTAAACAGAGTCAGACTGACACAAGAGATTTTCTTTGCCATAAACTTGTTTTCTGTTAATCTAAATGAGGAAAACGTAACAAACGCGCTGTTAAATTTTCTAAAGTTGCTTTATGTCCTTTTCATGAAATCAACTATTTCAAAGAATATCATAACGTTCCCTATTTAAGGATTTGTTACTGTTAAATTAAAAACAAATGTTGGATTTAAATCAGACAAAAACCTTTGTCTCTGTACGTAACGACAGATATTGATGAAAATTGCAGCTTACACACAGCAATATAATCAAGCTCAAAAGTTCATAGAAATAATACATTTTGGGAACATGGCAAACACAGACGCTTAGAGTATCAAAGAAAGGATGAAGTGCCATGGAAGAGTAAGCATTCCCTGTTGATCGATCATTTCCGCCTTGTGCTCACTTTCATCATCGGGGGGAAAAATAGATCCATACACAATTCAGTCAGTAAAAAATCTTCTCACAATTTGACTGAAAAATATTTATCTACATTCGACTTAGTAATAGATTATACTTGCCGACAAGATCATTGTATCGACCTTAGAATTTGCAAAATATTGGCCTAAAACTAGACTATTCATACATTTATTGCATAAAAGAATTGAATCATTAGGTAGACATTAACTCCATGTAATCCATGATAAAAAGAGTAATTTCTCCAAGAGTAGGGAAAGTTGACCATAGAAAAGTTGAAGTCATTGCATTTAGCACAAGGTTTTGTTTTTTGGTTACAGATTTTCAGAAGACATGATCTTCAAATAATACAGGTATATTTTCAATCAGAAATTCAAGTCCACGTGAGAATCGGACAGTGGGGTTCTCAGAAATAGTGATTTTTCACTCACACTTTTTTGGCAGGCTATAAGTCATGTATGTGGAAAGGAAAAAATATTGGTCATTCTTTCTATGAAAACCTGGAAATAAAATTCCCTGGCAACTGACCAATTCTTCTTTGTAGATTGATGAAATTTCACTCATACTTTATACAAAAAGTAAAAAAAAAAGTGATTGTTTTTTTCTTTTTTAGTGTCAGATGAAATATACGAGGACTGAACAATAAAAAGTGTCATCGGTGCTCGGAAAGAAACAAACACTTTTCAATAATTTAGTCTTAATGAATTCACTTAAATATTCTCTTCTAATTAAAGCACCTGTTTCTAACATTTTCATTTAATTTCAAATTGTTTTAGAATACATTTTTGAGTATTGTCCCTTCGTATACTGGAATATTTCAGAACCTGAAATGATAATTTCCTGTACTTTTTTTTTCTAAAAGATTTTTTTTCACGTTTAGGACATGAAACAAGTTAACCCTTGAAAGATCTGGCGAATATTATTGGTGTGAAAAAACAATAACGTTTAGTTTATCCCCAAAACTCCTTTAGTCTTCATAAAATTTGGGTATGGACGGTGTCATGAAGAAATTTATCATAGCGGATTCCTAATTCTGGTTCTTCACATAAACCTTTCGATTTTTTGCTCTCAAGTCTCCTTCAAAAATTGAACTGCCTCCCCGAATAAGACTTTAAACAACAGGACCACTAATATTAAGAAAATAGCATAAAGAACTATGTTTTGTAATCTTGCAATTCTTTGTTCTTCTTAGGCTTTTGCTGTTTTATCAAGTGTATCTTATTGTAAAGGCGTTATGAGGGTATAAAGCAATGGATTCAAGTTTCATTATCTGTTTGAATTTCAGACAAATGTGGATACAGTGTAAGTACAATTTTTGAGTTTTCAAAACAACAATTTAAATATTCTTACAGGGTGTCGTTTCCACTTATTTCTCAAAACATAGGGTGACCTTTGAGTATTAAATATTTTGTTGTCAAATATTTTTTCCAACATTGTGAATTATCCCAAAAATGATGCCAATTGAATTTCCTATGTGTCGTAAAGTCAATCAAACATAATCAATGATAATTTCTTTAATTTTTGCAAAAAAGTACACTCGTTGTTTTATAAATAAAAAAAATACAGAGACCCGGTATTTAGATCACTAAGCATATGAGCTATCACTAAGCAAACATGGATGGCTGTGTTACAAGTATCACAAAGACTGTTTAACGTCCCTCCCAAGAATATTTCACTGATATGGAGACGTCACCATTGCCGGTGAAGGGCTGCAAATTTAGGCCTATGCTCGGCACTTACGACCTTTGAGCAGGGAGGGATCTTTAACGTGCCACACCTGCTGTGACACGGGGCCTCGGTTTATACGGTCTCATCCGAAAGACTGCCCCATTTAGTCGCCTTTTACGACAAGCAAGGGGGTACGGAGGACCTATTCTAACCCTGATCCCCACGGGGGAGTATCACAAAGAAACGAATGTTATTTTGGATAATAGAAAAATATATGTCGTATAATTATCTTATGCCCAATATCCTATTCAGTTGGTTACTTGCCTTAATAATTGTTTTTCGTTTAAATGATAATTTCGAAGTGGTTGTCATAGATTTAGTTGATAATGATTGAAATTTTCTTCAGACCCCAAAGTTTCCTGTGCGATTTTGTTTACCTCAGGTTAAATTAAAATGTATGATCCTGTATTGAAAAGAAGAATACTAGTAATTAAAATTCTTCATAGTTTGTCATATACTTTTTTTTTAAATCCGTTATCCCACTTAAATGTGTTTGGTATATAATGTGAATGAATATAAGAAATATTAAGAAAAAATCCAGTTTGATGAAATTTAGAAGCTTATTTAATTTTTGACACTAAAACAATGTAAAAAAGCTCAAAAAACAAGAATTGAAATGTCATCGTATATCAAAAACAAACATATTTTCTTTAATTGAGACTATGAAATCCTAATTTTTGGGGGGTTTGAATTTATGAGGTATGCAGAGACCCACACATTCATGTCAACCACGAAATGTCACAAAACTACTCAACAATATTCACCCAGGAAATCAATTCCTCACAAACCCGGAGTTTTTTCCTCACACTACGAAAATTTGACCAAATTTTCCGTAACTACATTTTAAAATTTTCAGCTTATTCCTTTTCGTTATCATTAGAACTAGAATAGAAATATCACCTTTCTTGACTGCATTTATAAAAGTAAGTCTTACATGTGATACAATACAAAAAATATATTTAACCCTCACTTCAATCTTCTAAAATTAATCTTGCTCGAGAAGAGGTGTCGTCGTCTTGAACAGTCTTATGATTTTGACGATAGCAACCTGACATTATAAAACCAATGACCGCCATTAGAAAACAATTGGCGGCAATATGCCAGGTAAAGATCAGAGCTACCAACATCAGCCCAGCGTGATCGCTTGGTTCCCATAAGGCTTGGAATGAAAACTGTGGATAAAGTATAAATCCTAGTTGCCAGAACCAAGTTCCTTGAAAGAGGTATCCAAAGCATTTCGTCATAGCACACAGAATATTATCTCGATATTTCATTTCCAGCACTACCCCCACCAAGGTGATAAGAATTACGTATACAAGCAAGGTGTGCAGTAAAACATCCAAATCATTTCGGCCGTAAACATGATGTTTGAACAAAAATGCATTCACTCCCAGGTTTACTATTTGTGAAATGTATTCTGCATTCATAGGGAGAGATACCCCATAGAACAAAAGAAGATCTATAACCGCACTTTGTCCAAAAAATACGAAAAAGGTCACGTGTTGTCGATTATTCATTCGGAATGGCTCTGAATGTATCACTGAATCAAGCACTATTGCAACAATTCCGGTTGTTATCATAATCAATCGTAACATGGGTTCCAGGGGTATTTTTTGTAGTTTGTGAGGCAAAAAGAAAAATGGATAATACAGCGAAGATTTGAATTTTTCTCTTCGCTGCTTTGCATCGAAATATTTATGAATAGTAGATATCGTGTACCAGATTCCTGCGCATATAAGAAACGATCCGGGAAGAGCGTGTCCACCAAACGTTCCCATCCTAGTATCTGTTAAATAAATAAGAATATCTAATTTCTTAATGATTGAAATTTAATCAAAATTAATGTGCATAAGAATAGCCTTTACAATTGAAAAAATGGAAATAAATAGAGGAAATTTAATGTTTTGTAGTTGAATAGGGAATTTATTTGACGAGTGGAACAGGATTTTTTGATATTTCCACGATTGTGAAGCATGAGTGAGATATCAAAAAATCCTGTCTCACGAGTCATTATGATATCCTTTTACACTGTGACAGGATATCATTTTTATTCAATGAATAAATTACAGTATTTCACAGGTAAAAATGTAATAAAAACAGTTTTCAAGCTCAAAAGTGCATTGAATTTCAATGATAGGAATCAGAAAAAATCTATAGTCACTATTTTGTTTTCGTGGGATCAGGTGTCATTAAGATGTAAGCAATATCCACTACAAACCAATAATACTAGGGGCATGCATCAATGTTAATCAACTCAAACAAGAGTAATCGAGAATTTCACTTACTTAAAAATCGGAAAACAGTGGATTATGATAAGAAATATTCACATTTCCAATGTCTTTGTCCGAGATAACATTACAAATAATTAATCTACTTGATTTCAACATAAATATACTGGTTACAGAAAGGCGCGGTTGGAAAAAAATCACGTGCGGGGCGGGAAAAATATAGACAGAAGCGGGGCTTAGAGCATGTGGATTTGCGGAATCAAGAGCATTTAAATATAAGGAATAATTATAACTGTCAGATTTTTTTATTTCATGACGATGATCAATCGACTGGCTTGCGTGATAATTTCACACATAAACGCCCTTGGCTTTTAGATCCACCCTCGTATATCCGGAATAGCTTCTAAACATTCGTATCCGTGTTGTTCGAGTCACGACGATGTATGAATGTGTAACATTTTATTGTGAACAGAATTACATTTTCTTTAAGAAACAATGAATGTGTCGTTTTATTTCTATTTCTTTTTAATTTGATTTAAATCATTACTCGACGAGTAATAGAGAATTTTAATTTCCAATAAAAAGCTTTCCAAAAAAAAAACTATTTCTTCTCATCAAAATCTTTAGTTGGTGATTATGCTTTATCTGCAAAAAATCTTTCCACTGTACCCAATCTGATTCGATTATTTGATAAACTCTACGTTAACTCATTACTTCAAGAGTACTGTGCTACCATATCTTAAAGAAGTGGTGTGAATCAGATGTGGATGCTAAAAAAATCGAAAGAACTTTTAGACAATTTGAAGTCACAAGATTTTACCAAAATCAACAGCTTAAAAACTTACGACTTTTCAGCTTTATACACAACCATTCCCCACGATAAATTGAAATCCAGGCTTTTTGATATCATTTGATATCAGCTGCTTTTTCAATAAAAATGGAACTCGTAAATTTACTCCTCCATGGCACTTGATCCCACCTCTGATGTTTCGGAGGTCCATGTTTGCTCTGCTCTTGTTTTGTATTGTTTAAGGACTTTAAGATTGAATACTGTTCGTTATCTCCATATCCTTTCTATACTACTCTTCTTGAAAAATCGCTTTTTAATTACGGGAATTTTCCGACGTGGGTGCGTCGGAATCAAAATCAAATCTGGTTTACTACTCTTACATGTAATTTAGTTTACAAAGTTTGGTACACTATTTAAAGTCTTTAAGGTACATGTAATGTAAAGTGATTTCATACTTAAGTTATTGTTGAGTCATAAGGTGAAGGTACACTGTACTTTTATTCTCCTCGATACATGTATGTAGTGCATTAATATAACCGTAATGTATGTAAGGGATCTATTATTTTTAAAGATTAATACAGAAAAGGAGAATGGATAATTGTAAGTTTTTTTCAAACCTCTCTTTTCGGTCCAGGAACGGTTTGATAATGTTTTTATGCTACAAAGTCTTAAATTAAAAAAAAAAAACAAACAAATGTTGAACTTTAAAAACCTAACATTTTATTCCCTATGTTCAAAACCATTTGGTTTGATAACAAAAAGGAAAACCATGCCTTTGTGTATTTAAAAGTCTTCCTTCATAAAAATTTGAAATTTCTTGTTGCTGGCTCATACAATATTCAAGGTACCATGTGAAAGGCAAATGTTAAATCTCATTGTAAATATAACAAACAAGAAACGGAACCTAAAATTAAATCAACATTTTAACAAAAGATGCTTGTGTTCAGTTTTGATATTGAAAGATATTTTGAATGCTAAACCATTCCACCATGTATTCTTGCTGAGTTATTCTATTGTCTTTTAACTAGAACAGTATGATTTGCAAACATTGCAAAAGATGTAGAAACATCCGCAAAAGCCAGGGGTCTTGAGTCAACACCTTTCAGTTTGACCCCTCGCACATTTCATTCAATATTTGGTGGGCTGATTGTAGCGACGTCTATCGGAAAAATTGAAAAACTTAATTGCTTTTTTCTCTCAACCAATTGCATTTAGCCATTCTATGATAAATAACTTATAACACGTGCATATGAGGTATCAGCTGAATCTTTATCAGACTATTTTTGAAATTGGTGTTTCTCAATGAGAGAAGTAAGCCAACGGATATTGAATGAAATATACCAGCGGTCTAACGGCAAGTATACAAAATATATATTTATATGAACATATTTTATTTAGCTAATATTTATTTAAATAGTTTTATAATTAATCCATTTTTGGCATTTTTCAGTCAATTTGAGATGCTCATGTGTTATAGCTGAAATGTCACGAGTTCTGATCGTTGCAGAAGTGAAGGTTCTTTATCATATCGAAACCACAAACTTGTAAATGACCTTTCGAAAATTGCACGTCTTTCGTAGATTTGATTCCTTATCATACATATCAGTAACGTTAACAAAACCATGACGAATATGAAGGCGCAATTCTTATATATTTTCCTATACGTTCATTTCATTTCTGCTACCACGAACAATGATTGCAAAGCATGTGAGGACAAAATCAAATCATTGGAGAATCAAATGTATGTAGAATTTTAAACATTTTAAAAATTCTTTTCAGGTTTACATGTGATTGCGGATTTTGTATTTTCCTCCTTCTTTTGTGTTCGGATTTTCAGAAAGCAAATATGGGATGTGATTGGGAAATTTGGACTTGGTAAAGCTGAAGACCTAGATAATGAGAACCATAAATTGGTAAGAAAAAAGCATCAGGATTTTTTTTTAATCCGAGAAAAAGTAGCATATCTGTAATTGTTTAAGATAAGACCTTGTGTGTCAAGTTTATAGACAAAGGACTAGACGGTAAAAGAAATCTTCAGTCACTCCTTCTTCATTGGAATGACTAATAAATATAAGGCAGATCATCATTAAGAATATAATATATTTGATTTTTAGATCACTTTGATAAACTCAGGTGACCTATTGCCATCTGTTTCGACCGTCTTCTTCGGCTGTGCATCGTTCGTCGCGCGTTAACATTTGAACATAATCAGCTTTTTCTCTGCAACCTCCGAACAAATTTCAACTAATTATGGCCCAAAACATTTATCTGTGAAGGGGAACAAACATTATGAATACTTCATGATCCCTGTCTCCCCTAGGGCTTGAATGGCGGGGTCAAAACCACTAGAATAAATGCAATCTTTAAAAATCTTCTTCTTTACTCTTGGACATCAAGCATTCAAATTATTGGTATGATTGAAATAGAATTGTATCCTCTACCACAATTGTGAAATTCATGGCCAATGGGTCAGGGATTCTAATGCTAGGTAGAGGCTAAATAGAAAATATAGTGAAATCGCATTTTTTTCTTTTAAAAACACTTCTTCATTAAAAGCTAACCAAGTACAAAGAAACTTGTATGTTAAATAAGGTTGTCTTTTCTTAAATTGTGAATTTCATGGCCCATGGTAAGGGGGTTGTGGTGTTAGGTCGGGGGTCTATTGATTATATATTGAAAGTTCTTTGAAATCTTCTCCTAGGTACTAAGTAAACCAACCAAGTAAAGTGTACATTGTTATGTTGCATAAGAGTACATGAACCTCTTAAAAATTGTGAATTTCATGGCCACAAGGTCAAATTTTGTGGTTTTAAGGTGGGGCCTTATTGATTATTCAGTGAAACGCACAAAGTCCTTCAAGAACCTCTCCTCTCTTAATGAAATATCCACAAAGTTATGATGAAGTAAGATGCTTCTTCCCAATTTATGAATTTCAAGAATCCTGGGTCAGGGGTTCTGGTGTTAGGGCGGGGTTCTAATATTTATTTAGTGAAAATGCGTGATATCTTTGAAAATATTTTACTTTGCTCCTGGGTATCATATCAATATCATCTAAGTACATATTTATGTTGAAAAAAGGTGCCTCTACCAAATGATAAATATCATGGCCCCTAAATCAGGGGTACGGGGGAGGGGAGTACATAGTCTAAAAACAGATTAATGCTTTTAAAACTGCTCTCTTGTATTAAAAAATTCCAAATGGTAAAATTTGGTCTCAGTGGGGTGAGATGTACAACTGGTTATAAAGTGAAAATGCATTTTATTGTTGGAAAGTTGTTACATGATACTCAGGTGATCTATAAGGCCCATTGGCCTCTCCTTTAAGAATGCTAGTACACTGTATTTGATCTTTGTGTTATCATATCTGTTATTTCAGATCGATAAGAGACTTTTGCTGACTGACCAAAACGTTCTGCATAGTATAGAGACACGTCTACTGGAACAGGCAATCAAATTAAAAGATCTACAAGACAACTATCATACGACAAGTATTCTTTAATACACTAATAATATAGGACTCCACACGCGATGATATGCTTACCAAATTGTTTGCTATGTTCAACTTGACTATCATTTCATCTTTTGTTCGTTAGGAAAATTTTAAAACAATTATGTAAATGAGAAAGGCTGAAAACTGTCTATTCTGCGAGAAAAAGAACTTTCTCTCAAAGAATGGACAGTGTGAGGCAATTCTCCTACTTAAAACATGATTTTCTTTGTTCTGAGAATTAAAAAAGAAATGTGCAAATAGGTAGCACACATACAATGAGTTCATTGTTTAAAATGGACAGTTATAGGTAAGCTTGGGGTGCACAGCAATTTGTTGAATAGCCACAGTGTTTCCAAATGCGAATAACAAAAGTTTTTTGTCTAACGAATGGACAGTTACATGTGGATTTTGGGGGATGCTTGTATTAATATACAGTATAAGAATGCAACTTTTCAAAACCAGTTTATATTTTGCGTTGTTAAGGCAAACATGTTTCCCTCCGATGAAGAGAATAAATGTCAGAATCGAAATCGAATGGAAACCCAAAAGATGCACCAAACCATGATATTTTGACCTGGAAACATAGAATAGTAAACGTAAAAGAAAATATTATCCAAACTTTGATCCCCTCAAAATTTATTCGTTGAAATATATTAATTGCAGCAGTGAAATGGTGAAATGCAAATTGTTTTCCGAATGTTGGATAGCCATGTACCAAAACTTCGATCTGAACATGTATTTCAAATCAAATCTGGAAAATGGTCAATTTTAACTATTTTCTATCAAAATATTCACTGCAGCGGTGTACTTTTCATGGTTCGAAATGTTTTCTTGGCGATAAATTTAATATTAGCCTACTTCAAGCTTAAAATAGATTCTTCTCGAGGGAATGATGCTTCCAAAATCTTAATCAAATGTGAAAGTGAAAAAAAATGAGATTTGATGAGCATAGAGACTTGACATGTGCAAACGTAACGATTGGTAAGGATGGGCGAGGTAAATACATCGACTTTTGTGGCGGTTCAAACAAGACTTTTAAGGGAGGACTTGTCCACCTATCTCTGCAAAGTAAAGACATTCGGCATTATTGTCAACCAGGTACGGTATTATTCCTTTAGATTGATTTTCCTACCTTAAAATCTACAACCTACATTGATGAATATAAATTTATTTTTGTTACTATTTTAAGGAGATCGATGCATAGCCGACTATTTTCATCAGCACTTGGAAATGAGGGAGAGTTTTACAGACGTCCACTTGCAGGGAACCCTATTCGATATGGTGCACAAGTTGTTGTTGATAATAAGATTAAAAGCTTCATGAAAATCATCTGCAAAAAGGGGGGTCTCTTTGGAAACTTTACTAACCACAGTGGAAAGCGCATCTGTGTTAGCCAGTTATACAGCGCTGGAATGGATGAATAGGCGATCATGGAGCGAACCGGACATAGGTCAGACCGAGCAGTGCGGAACGATCATGTCCAGAGGTAGCAGAGAATGTCAGTTAAATACTTGATCCTCCTGCGCCGAAAGCAATGAAAATGGAAACTCCGTATGACGAAAATGATAACCAAGAACCTATGTGTACTGAAAATACGCTGGAAAAAGTCTGTGAGAGTTTGCAGTCTATGGCCTCTAGAAGCAATTCGTCAAAACAAATTGACAACAGGGCAATGGCGAATTTGACCAACAACTTTCAATTTGAAAACTGTAAAATTTCGTTCAATTTTTTGAGACAAACGCTTGTGACATGGCTTAATGCAGGAAAAATTTTAAAATTTGTTTAAATCATACAGGACAGTACATGTGTCAACCTTTTTTTTGTTGGTTTGTGAAAAAAAAATAAAATGTTTGTTAGCACTTCGTCTTCATTTTAAAAGTGTGCAATAACAAGTCATCACATTGTAAGTTAACGCATACTTAAGCTCCACCCCCTTTCATTTTAACTGGATTTAACATTGAGGCAACTTCAAAGGGAAAATATCGCATCTATGATACAATATCAAAATAGTCCTCAATATCATATAATGAAATTATTCAAGTAATACATTCACAAGAAAACTCAAAATGGTATTCTGGTTCGATTTACAGGGAAAAAGTCATTTTACAGCAAATAACTACATGTATTACTTGTCCACCTGAATTTGAGTAAACTGAATCTGAAAAAAACTACGTTAGCCTTCATGAAAATGGCGATAACGAGGTCAAAACGGTAATTTAAAATATAGCGACATTCAATTTTTTATAATTATCTCTAAGTGTCGTCCAGATAGGCGAACTTTTACTTGAATGTCTTACTGAACGTAATACAACTACACGTATAAAAATGTAAATGAAATAAAAACTTAACATTTTATAAGTCAAAAATATCTCAAATAGAACACTACAGAAAACACAATCAATCAACAATTAAAATATATATATATTTAAATATGGTTTCAATAAAATGAAATCAATGCATCTTTACAAGTGAAAATCAATGTTAATTTGTAATTAAGTGTACAATCATTTTACAGGTGGTGGTGCTATTTTTGTTCACTGGGGCAAACCAAGATGTCCAGACAACACATCTCAGTTGGTATATTCAGGTAGGAGAAATGCAAGTCAATAAGTACATAACTAAAGAATTTACTTGTTATTGATTGATTAATACATTTTAACATCCCTCTTGAGAATTTTTCACTAATATGGAAACGCCAACACTTGCCGGTGAAAAACTGCAAATGTTGTCCTATACTCGGCACTGAGGGCCATTGATCAGGGAGGGATCTTTTCGTGCCAGCGCTACTGGGACACGGGTCCTCGGTTAATACAGTCTCTTCCGAAAAACCGATCTCCACGTCTTTTAGTGGCATTCGAACCCACGATGTAAGAATCAACTCCTTACTTTGCGACTCTAGATAGAGCAGACACTCTAACCACTTCGTCACGCGGACGACACTTATTAATAAGTTAAACGAAAGTTATATTTATGGCTGAACTTATTTAAAGTAACATATTTATTTATTGAAATGATTTACAATCCGATTTAATTTACAACCTTAATGTAATAGTACCTCTACGCAAACTAAGAAGTTTTAACACTTAGTTTCCAATTTTAGGTTATCTGGGAGGATCAGAATATAGCACGAAGGGAGCAGCAGTCACCAATGTCTGCCTTTCCCCTGATCCAATATTTGGAAACTGGTCTCCAACTGGTGGTGATAATCAGATGTATGGGTCAGAACTCGATACAGATATAGCTGGACCGGGAACATCAACCCAAGACAACACGTGTGCAGTGTGTAGAAGTAATATCCACTCCACCGTTGTCATGATTCCAGGGAGAAACGAATGTTATCCGGGATGGAAGAAACAATATGGTGGGTACCTGATGTCTGCTCCGATTAATAACTCTCCTAAGGAAATCATCTGTTTAAATGAACATCCCGAGTTCGTTGTAGGAGGCGGGGATAATGATAACGGAAATCTTTTATATCCAATCAAAGCTGTCTGTGGTTCTCTTGAATGTCCACCTTATGTAAATGGAAAGCTATTGACCTGTGCTGTTTGTACACAGTGATGAAAGCAAATTAAAAAAAATGAAAAACTTGTTTAATGTGAAATGGTATTGATTTCATTTTGTTTCAAATATATATTGTTACTTAGATTAAGTATAATTTTAACTACTTTGGATATTTTTACTCTGTCGGAATTATTATCCCTTGCAATGGAATTGAAGGGGATGCATTAAGGTACTACAAGTAGCAACATGTGTTTGTGTTTGTTTGTTGTTGAGTGCATTAATCCTATACGAAACCCAAGTAACAATATCTGCATCGGAATTGATGTCAAGTGCTGATTTATTTATAGATATGCTCTCTGCGATGGGGATGCTCTGCTTTACGATGCCCTCAGTACTTCGATATAAAGCGCCTACTTAAAAGGATGACTGCATTTAACCCTGTGTTTTGTGTCTGTTTCGGTCGCTTCTGTTCCTTTTAAATCCTGAACTAGGTTCATTTTTATATATTTACTACAGTGGTCTGTCAATAAGACACCCAATTCAAACGTTAAAAATGATTTTAGACTGTAATGCAATAACAGATTTCATGTTTTTGTTCTTACGCTTCCCAACTACAGAACATTTATATATACTTACCAGGTCCATAACAATACCCTAAAAAGGTATAGAGCTTGATTAAGGTATTTAGTTTTATCAAGGTATTTCATGTAATGAAAATTCAAGAAAAAATCTTAAAGAAATAAACACTAAAAGTCGAGTTTTGAGTTTTTGTCGGTGTTTCCACTCGTGCATGAAAAGCACTCTTGTATCAAAAAGACTGCATAAAAGAACGTCTCCTCACACGACATGCTTTTATACCGATTTCATTGTGTTTGAGTACTTAATATGCATGGGTGAATTTACTGTCAGCAACTCAGAACTCGACTTTCAGTATTTAATTTTTAAAGAAATATTTTGAATTTTCATTACATAAAAACCTTGATCAAGGTATCTGTAATGCCTTAATAAAGCTATACGGCTTTATCAAGCTATATACCTTTACCAGGGTATTGTGCTGGACCTACTTACGTGCCCTTGATAGAACATCATGTATGTATGAGAGGCGGAGTTAACGTATCGCAAGAATGAATCTAGAATTAGACTGGATGAATAACAATGCCATGTATTAAAAATAAGAGATGATTATTTTCCATCTTTCTGTTACGTTTATTTGGAACAAATACATTATTCACAAAGGAATGAACCCATCGATGTAATTAAAAAAAATTCTAAATCGATGGCTGACTTTTTACGTGTTCGAACACATTTTCCTTTTTAGATAAAACAGGCTATATGTACCTATAAATCATATGACGGGATTTTTTATTCAAAAATTACCTGAGGAAAGATTATTATCATATTATTACATGTATATGAATTATAATATTGAATGTGCCACAGTCCTTGGTTACAATAGAGAGAGAGCTCTTTTAAAGTATGAACCCATATTTTGTCTATTTATTTACTTTTAACACAACGATAATTATGCAATTATATAACTACTGTTAAAAGGAGAATAATAGACAAACATTCAGGGATCATGTATAAAATCATTTTAAGAAGTTGGCGTCCTCGTTATCGTACAGAGGTTGAAGAGCTTGTGCTGAATGCCGCCTTGAAAAACAGATTCGTATATCGTAGATACATACTTTAATTCTTTTTTTTTGTAATTAAGTAAAGTTCTAGATTACTTGCTGATCATTCCTTCAATTCAAAGAAAAGAAATGTCTGTTTTTAAAGTTATTTTTTACGCAAAATTCACAGATCCTTAAGTGCAGTCATCCTTTACTCTTAATGAATTTAAAGTTTTACTTAAAATATTTTATGTACATTGGAATGCTCTGCGTGTAAGAGTTATCGCGCTTGCATTATCCTTGGAAAGTTTTTGGTGTGTCCAAATTAGGAGAGGCAGATGCAAGCGATTCTTGGAAATGTAAATATTTAATAAACGCCCAATGAAAACCGTGCGCGGTAAAAAATCTGGACCTGGTTGTCATTTTTCAGTTTCTTTTGGGACGCCGTGAAAAGTACATGTGTATTGGATAGCTTCAAATTATTTTAAGCGGTAAGGAAACACATTTGTTTTTTCCTCATACTTATTTGTTTTATTTATCTAACAATCTTTCAAAGATGAAGTGCGTAACATTTTGCTGTTATTGATATTAATAATTGCTATCCATCGCTATTGTTATTTTGTATACTATTTGCATATGTGGATAACTTGCTGCTGTAGAATAATATTAAAAAAAAAAAAGAAATAAAACTGACCGAGAATCGCTATCATAGTAGCGATAGTAAGCCTTACTGTAGGAAACGTAAATTTTCCGTTTTCATTCTTAAATGATTGTAAGAATATTGGTTATTCATTTTGCTTTCCTCTAAATTGACTCAGTCTAATTTAATTTTGCAAGAATTTCTGTTTGATGGCGTCCGTTTTCGATTATCTTATATTCTAGGTTGAAGCCTTTGTGGCCAGTACTGGCCACGTTTGTTTTACATGTGTAGGTCAACATGACCTCACTGCGTTCATTGGGAAGTGATAAAATATTTTGGACGGCTGAAGCCATTTCTATGCTATCTAAAGTGTACAAGATAGAGAGAACTTTTGTCCGATAGAGAGTAGAAATGCATAACGCAGAAATAATAATGATTTAGATAAAATTTTATGTAAAAAAAATAATACAATAAATAAATTTTTGTTGATACGATGATAGAGTTCTGATATTGATTATAAACTTTGCTTGTTCTTATAATCAAGAAACGCTCATTTCTTTGTTGAGGAAATATGTTTTTATTCAATTTACATGTACTTAATCAATTGATTAATAATTATTTATTTTGTTTATTTATTGACTTAACTACTGATCGATCTATTTCAATCTATAATTTATTTTTTTTTAATTTCTGATTTCCTAGTATTTTACCTTATTTAGATCAACACAAGTTGTTCGAATTTCTTGTGGACAATTTAGTATTAAAACTCCTCTATCGAGGTTTTCCTCATTAGGATCAACACAAATTGTTTGTGTTTCCTGAGGACAATATTGATTAAAACTCCTCTACTAAGGTTTTCCTCATTAGGATCAACACAAGTTGTTTGTGTTTCCTGAGGACAATATTGATTAAAACTCCTCTACTAAGGTTTTCCTCATTAGGATCAACACAAGTTGTTTGTGTTTCCTGAGGACAATATTGATTAAAACTCCTCTACTGAGGTTTTCCTCATTAGGATCAACACAAGTTGTTTGTGTTTCCTGAGGACAATATTGATTAAAACTCCTCTCTTGAGGTTTTCCTCATTAGGATCAACACAAGTTGTTTGTGTTTCCTGAGGACAATATTGATTAAAACTTCTCTACTGAGGTTTTCCTCATTAGATCAACACAAGTTGTTTGTTTTTCCTGAGGACAATATTACAAACTCCTCTACTGAGGTTTTCCTCATTAGGATCAACACAAGTTGTTTGTGTTTCCCGAGGACAATATTAAAAAACTCCCCTATTGAGGTTTTCCTCATAAGGATCAACACAAGTTGTTTGTGTTTCCTGAGGACAATAATTTTTTTAATTTTAATTTTTGAAATCAGCATTACTTTAGAGTGTAACTGTTTTATTCGGAAGGGCTAGTTTATATAAAATAATAATAAATAACAATAATAAAAAGTGGATTTCAGTAAATGTATCTATCTATTTGTCGTTGTTTACAGGACAAATCTTAAAAATACAAATCTCATCATATCTACTGATTTTTATTGACAAGAAGTATATCTTTTTACAGCATCACTAAAGAATTAAAAGTATATATTTTCAGTATATATACAATGCCTCCAAAGAGACAGACAAGTAGGGCACGATCGGTTCCACCCGCTACTTCCCGACTAGGAAAGAAAAGACGATTAGTAGCAGACCAAATCTCGGTACATGTACCTGATGATGTGGTGGATAAAATCACCAAAACTGTCACGGAAAGGGTTACAGCTTCAATAACAACACTTATTAAAGAAGTTGTCAACACTAGATCATCGGATTTAGATAATCAGGGGAGTATAGATAATAGTAATGTGCAAGCATCTCCACAGATTACCATCTCAGATAATAGTGCCGCGGTAAATTCTCAATTCAGTGTATTGCCCGAGGCCACTGAAGCAACTAAAGGTAAGGGACAAACAGGATTTGTCAGCACAGCAGTGCCAATAGAAGCTCTTGTGTCTGACCAAATCAAGTCTAAGATATGGTCGAATCAGTGCATTGATTTTGTCAAACTTTTATCGAAAGAAAAACAGAAAAAAGGTAAGTTTTCTTTGCAAGTAGAAAATAGTAATTCTCAGGGGAAATTAACCGTTCACCAGGTTGAGAACGATGCTGAAGACAAGTCAATTGTTTCTTCTATGCATGACTGGATTACAGCTTGGAACATGTATGCAGCAATATATTGTATAAAATATCCTGAACAGCAGTCAAAATTAGCCAAGCATTTAGAGGCAGTAAGAGACATTGCTGATGCCAAAGGTAATTGGAAATATTATGATGCAGAATTTAGACAGCTTGTATCTTAAGGACAGGTTGCATGAGGGGATGTTCATGTGGAATTGTATGTTAACGCTAGACTCAAGACTGATCTATTGACAAAAGTAAGTAGTGAAGACGCACCATTAGGACCAATTCCAAAAGGGGCTTGTTTCAATTATCATGCAGGGAAGCAGTGTCGTGCAGGTTTATCCTGTCGCTTCCAACACAGGTGTTACAACTGTGGTAGCAACCACCCATTTAATCATTGTAACAAACTCAGCAGCCCTTCCGTTTCCTTAGAAAATTCCACACCCAAGCAAATAATAACAAGGAATCTACCAACCTTTCCAAACAAAGGGATGACACCAGTTAAAGTAAGTAGATTGGCAAAATTGTTGGCTGGATTTTATTGGTGAAAGCCCGAGCATTGAATAATAGAATTTAAATTCTGATTTCCAAAACTCACAGCTAATGTCTCTAAGATAGAAAAGAAATTTTAGCTGGGAGGGTTTATGGACCTTCAAAATCAAACTAATGAACTGGATTCAGTTAAAATGGAATCTA